ATCAGTTCCAATAAATGTAGTTTTACTAATCTCAATTTTGTTGAATTTTTGGGGGTGGGTTTTAAGGCTTTACAATATCATTTGTTTGAAAAATTGACTACTGATTCCTTTTGTAGAAGTTTCAAAGTTTTGATATTGTCAGTCCTTTTGGGGAAAATCAAGAATTGTATAAATTAAAAAAAAAAAAAAAAAATCAAATATATTTATGAGAAAAAGTTTTAATATTATAGACAAAATACATGTTTTGTTGAATTCCTCATCTCAAAATGAGTAAAGTTTCAAAGTTTCAAGCTTGTATCTCCACCAGATGCTTTTTTTTTTTTTTTTTAAACAGCAAGTTCAAGAATTTTATTTTTTTTACACTTTTTTGCCTTACTACAAATTTTGCTTCTGCCTGTACTTACATGGTGAAATAAGAATTGTTTTATGATGTACTCCCATGAAAAACATTGGGCTTAATCTCTAACATACTAGAAAACATATTAAGAAGTGTCAATGACTTAACTGTAGAATGAATGGTCAAATTTGCCTTCCTGTGTTATTCTTGCACTGTTTTTAGGACAGAATGTGATGTTGCCTCTCTGTTGAGACTGGTCTTATCTAATAATTATTAATTCCATTAGTATTATCTTTCTTTTATTACTTAATAATATTGCATTTATAATGATAAAAATTATTATAAATGCAATATCATTAAGTAATAATTAAGTAATTCACTTGTTTGAAGCCTGCATCTTCAAATATACACTGTTAAAATGGGTTTCTGGCCCAATCGTACTCAAGACGGAAAATCAGAAAAACAAAAAAGAAATGGTTTTATTCTTTCTTTGCAGCCTGGTACCAACTGGTTCACGGCCTGGTAGATGGGGATTGCTGGTTTATAGGGTCCAAGCTGGACTCGCTCCCTGGCTCAACTTACTGTTGATTTATATCATCCAAGATGGATTGGCTTCCTAGATCAATTTCCATCTCCTCATCGTATTCTTGTCTGGATCTTAACTGATAACAGGGTTTTTTGCAAGAGCAGTTTTCAAATTATCAAATGTTGTTTGTTGTATATTAGCTCACAAAAATTCATGGTTCTTTTTATGTAACTTGGCAAACTCTTCTATTAGTTTTGAATATGTGGGTAGTATTTACTATAAAAAATTGATAAACCCAAAAAGAATTCTAATTCTTTTTTATTGTGGAGACACTCCTAATATTTTGTTCGTCAAACTCGGGTCTGATGAAATTCTGTCTTGAAATTTGGTACTGAAGACAGATTTTTACACATTTATCTACATTAATAGTCATTTCAGTTAAACTTGGTCTATTTAATACCTGGTTGGCTTTTTTGTTTCAACTCTTCTTCATTGATTGCACAAACATGTATCACCTTTATGTTATCATTTTTTTATGTCCCTTCTTAGAATGTTTTCTATTGCTTTCTAAAATACAACACTTGCTGTTTTCATTGCATAAGGTATACAAATCAATCTTAAGCAGTCCAATTAGGGAGTTAATAGCTTAAATTAATTCATTCCAATTAGGGAGTTAATAACTTAAATTTAAAATCAATTTGAATTTAATGGTATGTGTTTTTTGGATCAATTTTTATAAAGCATTTTGTTCCTGATAACGAATATAATATATTTTCGATATTTGGAATAAGATAAGAATCCAAACAAATCTTATAGTTTACACTTATTTTGTAGTCACCACAGATTCTAAGATCACCATATACCTATTTACTCCAACCCAAGGGAATATGTTCCAAAATACCTTGCTCAACCATTTTACATAGTTTCACAACTAATATGTGAATTGGAAATCTGTGAGAATCAAAATATGAGGAGTTGCAATTTTCTTTCAACTTAATCCTTGCTTTATAATCTTTTAGCATTCCAATTTTGGGAATTTGTAGTATGAATTAGACATGCGCTGTTTGTTCTTATTAAGCCAGTTTACAACTGCAATATTAACAATTTTGATCCTGATATTCATTTCAAATGTTCCTTCAAAGTATCCTAATGTTTTTATGTATGATCCATCAAACTGGCTTAATTTTGAATGACAGTTTTGGTTTACTCATTTGTTCTGAAAAGTTCTTTGGAATCAGCATTATATCACTGTTGGTATCTATTTGCATTTTTAAATTTACCCCATTCAATTTAATTTTCATGAAGCTATTTTCTTTCTTATTCTTCTGTATTGAGAAAACATTAGTTTCCCTTTTTGAAGTGTCTTCCATTTTTTTGACACTCTTTATATTTTTCTTTTTTAATTTACATACTGATTGAAAATTATTTTTCTTATTACATCTCTGTCCCCATGTCAGTCATTTTTCTCTGGTTCATGTTCATAATTAAAATATTTACATTTTAGTGTTGTTTTCATTATCATGTATGTATCAATAATTTCAGGTAGATTTTTTTTCCTTATTGAATTTTTCAATCAACTCTTCCTGTTGGTTGATACATGCCTCTAACAAGATTTGTTTTACTTGCAACTGTTCTAACATTTTCAATCTATGCAAAGTATTGCACATACATTCTATCAGTTTTAGTTGAATCAATTCCTCTTCAATAGACAATATCTGAAAGCGTCTTGTAGCCAGTAACGGAATTTCATAATGGATTCGTCAATTTCTTGTTTTAATGACAAGAACCTGGTTTGTTCAGCAATTACTAACTTTTTCTTTGGTCAAATATTCCTTAGAATAATCTCTTTGATTTGGATAAATGTCAATTCTTCCAATTCTGTTGAAGAAGTCCTCAATAAAATCTTCCTAATGGCTTCACAACTGGCTGTTGCCAGAAATAAATCTGATTCCATTTTCACCTCTAATTATTTTGTTGTCCTGTTGTTTCTCTGTTCTGGCAAGTGTTGCAAAACACCGATTTCAAGTTTAAACAAAGTCTGGGTCTTCTACATATAACAAAGATGTTATCAGCAATGACATATTGTTATGATATTCCAAGTAAGGAGTGCAGCTTTGAGCAGTCAGTATTGGTTCTATAGTCAAAGACTATTCTACTACCTTATGTAGCAAGCCTATGTAAGTCTGTTCCTAGATGTATGCTAATTAGTAGTAGCATTATCCAACCACTACTACAAGAGTCTCTAATACTTTGCTAAAAAGAAGTAGAAGACTAATTGGCTGATAGAAGGATCAGACACTTTGCCTGAGTTCTTAAAAACACAAACTACAGAAGAGGATTTCAAATAAGCAGAAAAACAAGAAACATCAAAGAATATTTATTATAGATCTTAGAGATAACAAAAGCCAGTTCAGGAGCACATTTATTTAGGACTAGATACCAAATCTGCATGCTTTGTGGGGATCCAGTTTATAAATGATAGTAAAGTGAAGTGAAAAAGTCAGGCAAAGATACTCCAAATGAGTCAAGAGTAGAATTGGAAGAGAATTTATAAGCAAAACATCACACTTTATCAGCGGAAGAGGTTAACACCCCAAGCTGAGTGAAGAGAGGGAGGAATAGAAAACTTAACCCACTATTACAGAGCCAACTGTACTCAAGAGGTCCAAACTTGTTCTCATTCTGTCAGCAAACAAAGACTTAGCCATACTCAGGACACATTTACAATTATTATGAGCAGGCACAAAGAAGTAAACAAGCTTAAACAATCAATACTATTAGCAACTGAACCTGTAAATAATTTGTTCATATTACTGATATGTTGGTAATTAGAACAATGACAACTGAAAACTTGTTACAATGTAAGAATAAGATGTATGTTTCTAAATCTAGAATCACTGTGATTATATGCAATTGCTATAATATAAATTATAAAAAAATTAAAATAAAGAATCTTAAATACACAGCATGTCAAAGTAAAACTTGCAAAAAATGCTGCAACTTTCAAAAATTGATTATTATACATAAATAAACCTATTGATACAAAAGGATATTAATAAAAGTCACAGATAATATCAAAACAATTTACTGAATGTAGTTGCTTTTATTTTCAATTAAAACTTCAGCACAATCTTGAAAAGCTACACAACCATGAAGTCTTTGTGAATGTAGCCTTCAGGCTATTGATATTGAGTTGGAAGGTTTGTTAATGACCTACTCCAAAATGTCCCACATATTATAATCTATTGAGGTCAGGTCCAAGCTGCAGGAACGCAAGAAGTTCATTGGCCAGAAATTGGCAAAGTTAGCTTTGCAGAATTTCTCCACTTTCTTGGTTGTATGAATGAGCCATGGAAAAAGCATGGTACTTTTTAGAAATCAGCATCCACCTTTTCTCCATTCTTGTAGAAGGAAAGGAGCATTTTTCCTTATCAGAGGCCAAGACCATGACCAATTAAAAGTCATTTCCATAATTCAAAAAATAGATCCACTGTGAACATTTTTAGGTTAAAGAATATTTTATAAGTGGAATCATGAATCTTGAAATAACTGAGTACTTTCTTGAAGCTTTTCAACCTCCTGTTCTTCATAGATTCTGTTAGGAGGTGCCTTGGCATTTCTAGTGTAAGATTTAAATCCCAGGGCATCATACATGACAGTTTAGATGGTCTTCACTTTTAGCTGAGAAACTATCTTACACATAGATGTTACTGGATTCTTTGTAATACTGATTTAAGGGCATTACTAAAAATCTTGATTTCACTTTTTGTTGATGCCACTGCTACTTGGCTTTCTTTGTCTGGATGCAACTGCACTCCTATGAACTCCTTAACACTGTAGGTAGTGCACAAGGACACATCAACTATATTAGGGATAGTTTTAGGGTTGATTTGACAAAAAGTAAATCTAACATACTTCTGTGAAGCCATTTTCCATGACATTTCTGAAAAATATATGTGTGTATTAAGAGCTGACATTATATCTTTTGCTGTTTATTTGGTTTCACATCACAGTAGTTGGTAGGAAATTTGAATTTAAATTGTTCTGCAAATTTCAAACCTACAAGATACATCTTTTCCAATGTATAAATCATTGAAAATAATAATTTACTGTTATAGAAAAAAAATACAAACTTACTCTTGATGCTTTTACAGCTATGTTGCCTATGTAGATTTTTGCATGACCTGAAATTGTAAATGATCAGTTTAAATTTTTTCCCAAAATGTTCAACAGCATAAATTTCTGAACAAATTAAAAAATAAATGTTCTTCAGTAAAATATTTTTTAAAACAAAGACAATTTTTGATCAAAACTCACTATTCTCTGGATTCCTTTTCAGGGAATTGTCTCCAAAGCACATGTCTAATTCTTCATTCAAAGCCTTGGAGATATTTAGAATTTGCCTCATTGAAGGTATTTTTACAACAACGGAACTGAAAAAAAAAAAAAAAATGCATATACTAACTCACATAGAACGGAATATTTCAATATCATTTACAGCTTCTCAGCAATGTTTAACTCATATAACTGCCAAAAAAACAATGTGTCAAATAAACGGATTTTCTCTTGATACCTCTATTACTATATGCTACCTTGGTTCTCTTGGCAATGCTCATTGTTTTAAAAAGATATATTTAGAATTTTAATAACAACAAAAATATTACACAATATTTAGTTAGATTGTTTATTTACAAGATTATAAAAATATGTGAATATTCAGATTCATTAGCAATTAGCCAATTTTTTGCCAACCATTCCAAAATACATAATTCACCAGCTTTGCTGATTGCTTTGATCAAGATGCTTAGTGTCCATTCTTCATTGAAGATTTCTTCATCAGTCACCTTGGCTGACAATAGACAATAAATCTGCAGATTTTCTAGGCATGGATCATTTAAATAGTTTTTAGCAAAATTAGCAACAATTTGAAAAAAAACTTTTCAAAATTACATTAAAAAAAAAAAAAAGAAAGACTAAGGAGGTTAATCTATGTAACAATATGATTTCTCACACATCTTTAGAAGATAAGGAGATAATTTCTTTTAAGTCCACTTAGTTATCTGAGTTTTATAGGAATTTTGTCTCCAGTTCATCTTTGTTTTGGGGGGGATTTATGTCTATAGCTGCCTTTGAACTGGGAAGCATAAACATTTCATAAATGGTTTTAGAGTTATAAAAGTAGTCCCTTGAAGATTTGACAACCCATGTGGCTTTGGAGTGGTCCCAAATCTTCCGGAAGACAAGTGGATGGGGGAGGGGGAAGATTATCCATATAAGCAGAGTGAGGCAGGAAGTTGTAGGAAAGTGGGTCCAGCTATGAAAGAAGTAGGTAGGTGACCAGAGGAGATGGATCTGCCCAGCAGCCAGTGACAGAAGGACCAGTAGTGAGGAATCAGGAGTCGCTGAGGCCAGTGAAGTTAGAAAGATAGCAGCCTACCTCTTGAAGCTGAAGGAAGGATCCCATGTTTAAGTGAGAAATCATATTGTTGCTACTTCCCACCCAGAGTCTTGAAAAACAATTGTCTTCATTTTATTTATTGAAAGTGATCATGGCTGAAAAGACAAACCTGTGCACATAGTGAGTTGGGTGTATATGCAAATACATTCAACCTTGGATGTCATCACAGGTGCAGTGATCGGAGAACATTGTCACAAAATTGTCACAATTACATTATGAATGGCATCACACGTATAATTGCTAGTTTCATTCTTGATCCAAGATCATGATTATAAAAAAATTGGAAAATTAAATCAGAAGAAAATGTGTAAACTTTGGAAAAATCATGTTTATTTAAATTTTCTTTTTCTATAGTTGACAGACGTTTACATATTTATTTCTAAAATGGTAAATAATAAATATTGCATTTTACTTGATTCACATATTTTTATAAAATTTTTAATAAAAAGATTTTTCAATTTTTTTCTTTATAAAATGGTAATAAATTTTTATAAAAAGAAACTGCTCTCTTTTAATCATCTGAGAGAACCTTTTTTGCCTTCTTTAAGCATGGGTGAGTGACTCGGTGTGCCTTCTCAGTCTAACACAAAATTATATTGAATCAATTACTAGATCTTTTGCTAGGAAAGTTGGTTTACTGTCATGTTAGTAATTTTTTCTCAACAGAATCTAGTATCAATCATCCATGCATTTAATCTTCTTGTTATATCTGGTCTGGTGATTCTGCTATGTATTTAGAGATTATTGATAAAAACAAAGAAGACTCTGTAAAATGTTATTGGTCTTGACCTGGCATATCAGTTTCAGCTACTTCCCTATTGCCACAATGAAGTTTTCCTGTGCCTTTTCTATAAATATTCTCATGATAATGGTTCTGATTAGCTTTCCTTTTTGGTTGCTAGACTTTATGAATTTAATTGAAATACTAGATTGGTGACAAGGTCTTATCGTTTTACAGTTGAAATAGCCAAATGTAACTGTAAGTTCTATGCTAAAAATTCTTCTCTTGATTTCTTGCTTTGCAGTCAACTTTGATTTTCAAAAATTTAAATGCAATGTCAATTGTTATCTTCTGTCTTTTTAATTCCCATTCTTTTCTCTGCTTAATGTTTTCTTTTTGTCATATTCTCTGACACTCAGTAACCCCCTTGCATCATAGTGGCTTTATTGCCTTGCTATGGGTGAAATGATTAAAGAAAAAAAAATCATAAATAATAAATTTTGCAGTGTAGTGGATTCACATATTTTTATAATATTGTAAATATAAAATCATTGTAAATAAACAATTTTTATAAATCTTGTAAATATAAAATTATTATTGTAAATAAACAATCTAACTGAATAATGTATAAAATTTTTGTTGTCATTAAAATAATTCTAAAAATAGTGTTTTAAAATGAACATTGCTGAGGAAATCAAGAGAGTATACAGTAATAGTGGTGTCAAGAGAAAAACTGTCTTTTTGACACTTTTTTTTTTGCAGGTACAAAGGTTAAATTCTCCACTATTTTTAGAGAAATAACTGTCCACTTCCCACAAAATAATTCTGATTATTATATTTCAACAACAGAAGTTCATATTTTTAAAATATTTGAACTGAAATCAATCTAAAACTTAAAGATTGCTTTTTGTTATCAATGTATCCAATAAAGTAAATATTTGAGTCACTTTTTTTACAATATACAATACATAATCTTATTTATTGAATCTTTCCTGGAAGTACATTTTGAATATTTGTTTAATATTATAAAAACTGAATTAAATACCAATAAATTAATATTAAGAACAAAACTTCAAGGATTTTCATTTTTTAATTACCATAGTTTTAAGAATGTCCTGAAAGTCATTTAAATTCATTTACAGAAATAGTAAAATGCATGAACAACTTTTCAATTGAACTCTTTAGTGGAAAAGTCTTCATATTCACACCAAAATTTTTTGCTACTTTGATATATCTACTTCAGTCTATGTATTTATGATATATCTACTTCAGTCTATGTATTTATGATATATCTACTTCAGTCTATGTATTTATGATATATCTACTTCAGTCTATGTATTTATGATATATCTACTTCAGTCTATGTATTTATGATATATCTACTTCAGTCTATGTATTTATGATATATCTACTTCAATTTATTTTGATTCCCAACACTTTAAGATTATTTTATGGATAATCTACATTTTCTTTCTGAAAAAATAATAAACTTAAAAAATTGCATAATTGAAAATACAAATTTACTCACTCTGATGAGAAATAAACATCTGAAACTGAACCAAATTGACTTAATTTTTCTCTGATGTCCTGTAAAAAATAAATTGTAAAAATGCAATATTAAGTATTGCTAAAATATCTCATAAAAATCACTTGAAATATTGAAACAAACATGCACACTCAAAGAGGTTCAATGTCACTATTTTTTTTTATTTTGTCAGTCACCATGAGTTTGATAGTCTACAATTTCAACATGTACATTGTAATGAGTTTTGTAATGTTCAATGCTTTATGGTTAGCAGTAGAAAACAATTTCTGGAAATTTTTATATTTATAGGATATTTATTTAGGACAGAGAGAGAAAGAGAGGACAAACAAGAGATGAGCTTTTTATTTCAAGTTGTCTGGCTTTCCTTCTTTCTGATCTGTTACCATCTCCAACAATATTGTTGTTAACACCCAAGCTTTAATGTATCTTAAAGTGCATTAGCAGACACAAACAAATGACTCACTAAGCAGTAAAATACTTCAACATTCTCTTAGTATTGTGGCTTACTGGTTATATTCTTTTTTCTTTACTTTTTAATCATGATCACCTCAAATATGGCAGTAAAGCCACTAAGTCACAAGGGGTTACTGGTGTGGAAGTATTAGAAAACAGAAACATTACTAAGGAATGAGAACAAAAGAGTAATTAGGAGGTCAGTAGATAGCAATTGACATTGTATTTAAACTTTTGAAGATTAAAGTTGACTGGAAAACATGGAGTTGGAAGAGTGATCTACAAGCGATGAGTGCGAAAAAGAAATTTAGCATAAGACTTATGGTTACATCTATCCAACTCAACTGTAAATTGATGAGACCTCATTGCCAGTCTAGTACTAATTCATAAAGTCTAGGTACCATAGTGAAGATCTCATCTGAACAATTACCATGAAAGTATTTAAGTTAAAATAAAAACCAACTTTACAGTGGTGGGAAAGTGACTGAAGCCAAGACAACAGATCAGGGCTAATAATATTGCTGATTCTTCTTTGGATTTTATCAAGGATCTCTAGATATATAGCAGACACACTGGAGCATATATGGCAGCAATATTCTAAGCATGGATGAATGATAGCTTATAGATATATAAGATAGATTCTGGAGAGAAAAATTGTCTAGCACAACACAATGAACTAACTTTCTTAGCAGCTGACCTAGGAATGGATTCAATATAGTCTTTCCACTTCATGTTAGCCAAGAGCATTAGCCAGAGAAGGCACAATGAGTTACTCTCCTGGAAGTTCGCATCAACCATACTGATGGAAAGAAGAAAGGGGTATTTCAGATAATTAATAAAGAGCAGTTTAATGGGAACACCAGCAATTAAGAGGTGATTCCACACTCCTCAAAACATCCTGATCAGAGTCTTTGCTGTTGGACATAGTTTATCATCTTACCCAGGACGCGGATGTAGTTTATCGTCATACCAGGACACGGATGTAGTTTATTGTCATACTCAGGACAGTGGTGGGAAGTTAAGCAAAGATACTCCAGATGAGTCAAGAGTTTAAGAAGTATTTACAGGTAAAACATTCAGCTTTATCAGATGTTAACACCTCAAATTGATTGAAGAGAGGAGGAATAGAAACCTTACTCTTATTTAATACACTATTACAGAGCTGCTAGTAACCATGAGAGCCAAAGTTGTTAGATGCAATACGGTGCCTTATTCTCTCAGCAAACAGATACTTCAAGGACATGTTTACATTTATTATGTGCAACCACAAATAAGCGCCTGTTGTGATGGGAACTGCTATGTTGGTATGGGAATAGTGGTTCCTGTGAGCTATAGCAGCAGAACATGCTGCTGTCAACCAAGGAGAAGATCGAGGTCTTACCTGGTATTTACAAGAAGGAATGAAAGCATCTATGCCAGCTTTGCCCCAAGAAGAAACATCAATGGCACAATTATCAATATGAAGGTTTTTTAAAAGTGTCAGTTCAAGAGGTGTCATGGAGTGAATTCCAATCAGCATGAAGTTAATAGAAAGAGGTCTTATGAATAGGAGGTTCCTGTTTAATAGATGACTGGACCAAAATCAATAAATACTACAGTGATTTGAGTTGCCAATTGGACAGTTGTGAAGCAAAATAAATCAAGAAGTCTAAAACTCAAACTTGCTAGGAAAACAAGAAGGGAAATCCATGATTTGAACAAGGGATTGGGCAATGGAAAATTGAAAGTCAGAATACTAACACCGATAACATTAGAGAGTTTAAGCCACATGTTGGGATGCACATTAATCACTGAACACAAAGATGTTTGCACATGAATGGATGGAGAGAGAGAGAGAGCCTTTTCTATACTGTCAGAGATTATGTCTAATATAGTGCAGTCCTGAGAAGAGGGGGAGTGATAAAGGAAAAAGAGATAGCTAACAGAAAGTAATAATGAAAGTCAAAAGCACATGAAAGTCAGTAGATTCAAGTGACAATTCCCTTGCCATTGGTAGATTATCCCAGATGTAAAGGCCATGCATGTGAATGCTGGAATCTTTTTGGCAAAGAGGAAGATAGTCTAGAACAGAGAATTCATTGGTAGCAATGGAAAAGTTTAAATTGTTTTCAAAATGTGCAAAGATATCCAGTAACTGTTCCAAGAGGAAAGATTCAATACTGCTGAAGTTGGGACAGATACAAGTAACATTGGAGAAAGAAAGATTGAGGGGGGGGGCGTAGGTGGTTTATGTTTACTGGTTTTCTTGTATTTATTTTCATTGTATTTGTCATGTGGTGATTTGTATTGAGGAAGAAAAGAAAAAGGTCAATGTAAATATCACTACCTGTCATCAATGGCAATACAAACTAGCCAAAATGTGACTGAGACCAGAGTATAATGTAGTCTCAGAGTTGCCTACCATAAATACATGCAGGGACACCTACCTATGCATGACATGGCACTACAAATACATTGGTACCATTACTAATCAGAGCAGCCTCTCTAACTCTAAGCGCAACCAAAGAATTTGGGCTCCTTATTACCAGTCAGATGCAGCAGCCAGTGAACTGCCAACCCAGTACCCTCATAATTAGTTCGATCACCAAAAAGTTAAGACAGGTAAATCATTATAGCCAAGGAAGAAGAAGAAAGAACCAGTTAACCCTATCCTCTAATAGGGGAACAAGGGAAGATTCTCTACTCCTGTTCTATAAACATAGAAGGATTGCAGGCCAGATGATAGGTGAGCTTATTTACTCCTATTAACATGATCACAGCACAGGAGGCTGGGTGATTTTATTGAGAAGCCAATTCTAGGAAGGCTGCCAAATAAGGCTGTAGACCCCATTCAGGCCAAGGGGGGATTCCTGGATGATTAATATCACACAGGAGGAATCGAGAGTAAGGTTTGGAGTAGTGGTGGCATATCCATTAAAACTGCAACCTCTACTCCTGGGATAGCAGGTGGATTCAAATAGTTCAGGAGTGAAGTATACATTTCAGATGAAACATACTAATTGGTGTAAATGAAAGCTTCTAAGTTGCTGAAAACTTTTACCATATGTGTGTTTTTTTTATTATACCTCCCCCCCCTTGTTGCTTCATCTGTTATGTATGAAGGCTAAGTCAATTTTGTGAGGTCAGTAAAATTGTAAGACCACTTGAGTAGGTGCAAATACTGAGCGAGTAAGGAATACATACAGTAATTATAGAAGAAGGATTACAGGTTCATTTTATATATATATATTATATATATATATATATATATATATATATATATATATATAAACTAAGAAGAAATAGATCATATTAAGTTTTAATCTATACTAATTTCTGTGCTCTCCTACCAACCAAAAAATCTGGTGGAAAATTAATTAATTCTTATTATATAAGGTTTTACAATATATTTAAAACATCTGAAGACTCCTCAACTAAATTGTCCAGCACCAATATAAACCAGTACCTTGCTGAATACAATCCTCTTGATCCTGTCACTGTGTCTGTTTGGAACTGATATCGATGCAGTCATCACATATCTGTCTCACTTTCATTTTGTAAAAGTATTCATGAGGCATTAGCTAGCCTTAATGCAAAGAAAAGAAAAAATTCCAGTCTTTGCACACTATCTTTCTTTTAAAATAACTTTAGCCAAAAAATTTGGAAATTTTGTTCTTTACAAGAACATAATCTTTAGGGTAAAAAAATCTACATTTTACCGATTTATCCTTTGAACATATTCAAAACTCTTATCATTACCAAACCATACTGTGGAATATATAGCAATATGTACTGTTACCTAAGGAAGGTTCATACAGAAGTCAGTTATTGATGTTATGCTATTTAAAAACATACTTTGCTTACACTGTCTTGGTTTCCATTAAAAGTTATGATCTTTTGAAGGAAGGTGTGTGCCACATTATGTGCATACTTACAAAATTTTTTCTTTTTCCAGAAAACCTTTAATGAAGAATCTAATGGTGGATAATATTTTTATGTTGTTATCTTTGATTTGAGGCATTAATATTTAATTAGATCATATCTAAAAGAGACAAGTATTTTAAGGAGTGGATTAATACATTTTAAAAATTAGTCTAAATAAAACAGAAAAAAATTATTAGATTTGGAGAACTGAGAGAGTGGCACTGAATTAGGAAAAAGTAAGACAAGAGAAAAGAACTACTCAGGCTGTATGTTATACATGAACTAAAATATTAACTATACAGTATGGTGAACTATGCCTCACAGAATGCAAAAATAAAATACATTTAAAATTTATATTGTAAATATTATCTTTTTAATTACAAGTTTGACCATTCAGAAACAAGATCCATTTTAACCACATAAAAAAGAATTAAAAATCTAGGAAAACAATTTGATTTTAATGAAAAAGATATAAAACATAAAAAGAAAAAAGTTCATATTTTGTTATTGAGATTGTTATAGTTTATACAGCTATTTTTTATTTAAAATCAGAGATGGCAACTGCTTGTTTCGATTATCACAAGAGCTTTGTCCAATTAAGTTATTGAGAAACAGAAGAATATTATTGATACTATCTTAGAAAAGAATACATTTACCTTGTTAGTACAAAAAAAATACAAAATAGTTGTTTAACTTAAATGCCTAATGTGTCTAATTAAAAACAAAGAATATTCTTTACTAGAAAGAAAATGAATTACATTAAAATTGTTTTGACTTGATATGCTATCAGATTGTATACAAACATGTATTACAAACAAAAAATAAAAATCAAATCCAAAAAATTATTACCTTCTTTGACTTGAAACAAGAATCTTTTCTGTTTATAGATAAAGAAAATAATCCTTTGGAATCAGGTTGAAGGTTTATTTTATATTCACAGCCTTAAAATAAAAGAGATTCACTATAAAAATTTAATAAGTTATCCATTTTGGATAAAAATAAATAACAAAATAAAATATTAAAAGATTCATTTCAATAGTAAAAAAAAAATGAAAAGTTTTTATTCATAAAAAACAAATTCTTCTCATTTTTATATTTCTTCTTAAAATAAATTATAAACAATCTCTTATCTTTACTTATATTTCCTTTCCAATGTTCTGCTTTGAAAACATTTTTAATTACAATATTCATGTATATAAAATATGTTTGTATATATAATTTAACACTATTCAAATATTTAAAAAGAATACTTTATTTTCACAAGTACAACATCACCTTACACTTAGATTTACAATACACATATACTGAAGTATATTTGTATTGCAACTCTAAGTAATTTATTTTTAATAGACATCTAAACTTGTTTCACCATATTGAATATGAAAAATAGGCTTAAATGTATGGAACACATACTTTAGTTCCCAAAATGATTGCAAATAGAAGCTTAATTTTGCATTAGAAAAATAACTGTCTTTTTTATCTATATATGCGATACTGAAAATAATAAATTCTGATCCATTGTGAACTTGTATATCTATAGATATCAATATTTTCAAAAACAACAGCATTAAATCATTCTTTAAGCATAATGATAAAATGATGATTATCATATACAGTGGTACCTTCACTTAAGAGTTTCCCAACTAACAAGTTTTTCAAGAAACAATACATCTCTCATATGAATTTTTACTTTGAGTTGAGAGTTAAAATTCAGGTTATGAGTCAGCTTCTGATACCCCATCGGTAGCTGGCGTGGTGAACACCACAGTGAATGCCACAATATCCACCCAACATCCTGTGTCATTTTAAGTGGTTAGCTTGCAGTAGAAGCCTCAGTGTTGTGCTTGCATTTTTGCTCGCACTTATTTTGCAAAACTTTTTTTTTTCCAACCATGGATCCAAAGAAAATGAGTGCAAAGGACAGTACTGAGAAGAAGAAGTGGATGAAGTGCATTGAATTAAAGAAAGAAATTATTGAAAAACATGACCAAGGTATGTGTGTAGTCAACTTGGCAAAGCACTACAAGTGTGACACTTCTACAATCTGAACCATACTGAAGCAGAAGGAGTCAATAAAGGCTGTAATGCCAGCCAAGGGTGTTAAAATAATTTCTAAACAGTGAACATCTATCCATGAAAATATGGAGAAGTTGCTGATGGTGTGGTTGATGGAGAAGCAGTTTGAAGGAGATAGCATGATGGAGGTTATAATCTGTGAGACCCCAGTGGCTTCAACAGATGAGGCATCAGGCAAACCGTTTATAGCCATTCAGGGCTGGTTTGAGAATTTTAAAAAGAGGATCAGCATTCACTCTGTTGTCAGGAATGGTGAGTCAGTGAGCACAGATATGAAGGCAGCTGAGGATTACTTCAAAACTTTTGTTGGAATTAGAGCAGCTGAAGGATATATGCCCCAGCAAGTTTTCAACTGAGGTGAAGGTGACATCAACAAGCTCATTGAGGAGCACAAGAGAGGAGATAAAGGAGTAACAGACGCAGCTGCACATGGAAGTTTTGCAGGAAATAGGTAGCACAAAAGAGACAGAGAAGGTTATCTCTACAAGTGAGGTAAACAAAATGTTGAGAATGTGGGAGAAACTTTCAGACATTATACAAAAAAAACACACAGAAAAAGTTGCAACTGGGCATGCAACAGTGCTATTTAATGACACTTGCCTAACTCGTTCGAAAAACATTCTAAGAGGATGAAACAGACCTCATTGGACTGGGTTTTTTTTATCGAAAACCCCTGCAGATAAAAGTGAGGAAAGCGTGACGAAAAGGGCAAAAATCAGCAAATAAGATTGTTATTCAGTTCAGCCTTTCTCCTCCACCTCCATCAGCATCTTCAAGTTGTTGGATCTCCAAGGTAAATGCTGTACATTATATGTAATAAAATCAGTTTATTGCAGTACATTCTATTGTATTGTGTTTTTTATGCTATATTTGTTATTTATAAGTATATTTTTCTTAAAAACTTTGTTACATGTTTTTAACATGTAACAAAGTTTTTGGGATCCGGAATGGATTAATGGCATTTCAATTCATTTCAATTGAGAAAATTGATTTGACATAAGATATTTCAAAATTAAAAATATGTTATAATTGCATTAGAATCCATTTTTAGCCATGTAAGCATTTCAAAAATCTCAGAATTAAAAAGTAAAAATGAACGGGAATATTATTCGTTTGTTTTTACTTTTTAATTCTGCTGATAATTTCAAAACTATATATGTATTTTTAAATTTTCTATTCTCTTGAATTTATTTCCGTATTTTTTCATGTAATTATTTTAACTTTTTATTATTCATTTATTATTGCAGATTTTAAAAACAAAACTAAATATCTATCTTTATTACTTTATAAAAACAAATTTCAAACAAAATATCTTGAATTAGTGTAGGTCAGGCCAGGCCAGTGCAAAGGTCACCGCTCCACCCCGAAATGATGATACAAGAAAAAATTAGTTGTTATGGAAAATAATTTTTTATTCAATCTTTAAAAAATAAACATCATTGTTTATTGGTTTGTTACTAAAGTAAAACATTTTAAATTAAGTTTTATTAAAGCAAAAACTATAGCAAGCCTAATTTTTTTGAAAATTAATTTAAATAAAATTTTCGAAATTAGGAAAACAAATATTCAACATTAATAATGTCTGTCTCTCATAATTTTTATTTAACTAAAGTTATTTTTTTTCTTTTCAAAAACACATAAAACTTGAATCTGGGCAGATCGGTCATCATTATTTTGCCCTTCCCCTCAATTATTACACACATGAAAAAAAAAAAAAAAAAACACACACACACACACAGATATATATATCTGTGTGTGTTTTGTTTTTTTATATATTTTATATATATAAAATGTGTATGTATATATATGTGTACTTATTGGGAAGCGCTTGATATCAGTAATAGAGCTAACATATTTAATTAGATTGATGTGAGTTTGTGACCCTGGGTTTCACACTACTTGTAATCATCAGACAAATTGATTAATTTTTTAAAATTGTGGACTTATGCATGGTTGCGTATATCAGTGTTTTTATGGTAGTGGGAGGACTTTTCATATTCTGCAGTTGATGTTCGTTTGCTCATATTCTTTATGTGTTTATTTTATGTGCTTCAGAACATATCGAAAAATGCCGATGCAGTTATGGTTTGGTGCAACAGTTCCTGTAACTCCAAGACTATGTTCAATTCCAATCCAACACAGACATTTCTGCATCTTTGTTGAGCTTGATTGCCACCCATAAAATAATATACCTGTACAAATTTGAGATTCTTTGGGTAACAGAAGGCCATGCATCAAATGAGGACATTGCCCCTGGATTTTATGTTGTTAATAATCCTAAGTTTAGTCATAATCTTATCTGCTCTAAATGATGTAATTTGAAAAAGGTGAATTATATTTCAGAAGGTTGCTTCTAAAGTTACCTGAGAAAGTAGATTTCCAACAATGAGTGGGTATTTGTACAAATTTCATTAATGGACATGATACAACAGAACAAGTCAAAAGTGTATCCTGTGATAGACTATAGGGAGCTCAACCAGCATCTCAGTGAGGTCACAGCTGATGTAAATATTTGTGCAAATACACTAAGAAAGTGGCACCTGCAAAGATCCAACATCTTTCTGCTTAACCAGAGGGCAGCATATTTACAAATGCACATTCATAAGACACTGGCAATATCAGACAATGTTCAATGGCAGAAGGTACTGCTTGACCAAACTAAGATTTTGACTAACATTACAATTAATGAAGTCCATTGAAGTTTGACTGTATACATCAATGTCTATGTTAATGAGAGTGTGATCCCAGCAACACACATCTTAGACCACATCCCAGTACAGACTAATTAGTAAAAACCCAAAACACCTAATGGATGCTGCTAAAGTACTTGGCTTGGCAGTCTGGAGGGAGAATAGCATTTTATAGTGGCAATAGGGAAATGCAGTACCAGCTGTCCCAGAAATGATTACATGAAATGTATTCTTTCTGTGTAGTAAGATCATGGGACACTTTCCAGCATACGAGTTGGTTGCATGAAGCAACCGGCAGGGCAAATCAAACTGAGGATATCCAGCTAAAGATGGGGATGATAGAAACTGTGACAAGAGGGGGAATAACCAGAAGAATCACTGCTATTTGTGAAGTAAAACAAGAAAAATTCCAATATATAAGCAAAAATATGCTCAATGACACAAGACAATTGGACACCAGCATAGTGGGGAAAATGCTCCTCAATACTGGGTCCCAAGAGTTCCTGCACCAGAGCATGCATGCATATATATATATATATGAGATAACAATATATATTTTTATATATCAAGTACAATATTGGGAAAAAATGTATGATAAAGTGGAAAAGTTTTCTTGTGATGTGTCTGGCCTTTATCAAAAATTTTGGCAGCAATATTTCTTTCCAACAGGTTTGATTGAATAATATCAACAAGTTCTGTCTATCAAATGTAAATAAAAGTTCATAAAAAATTTGATAGATAGAACTTCTTGTTATTATTTAGCCAAATATGTTTTATTTATATATCTCACACACAACAGTTCAAAAGTTTGAAGCCACCCCCAGAATTAGCATGGGATGAACTTGACAGAAGAGTGAAAAAAAAAAAGAAAAAAAAAGAGCTCTTAAAACTCATCGGAAAAAGAATTGGATCAAACTTATACTTTGAGAAACTTTTGTAATGAATACCAAAGATTTGTGCTGCAGTAATCAAGGCTAAAGGAGGATATTTTGATAAGAGCAAAATTCAATCATAAAATACTTCTATTTTTTTGTGATAATAAAATTTCTAATAAAAAATCATGTCTCCCTTGCTTTTAAACAACAAATAATAATTTTCTATTATTCAAAGTACAAAACAACTACTTTTGGGGCAAATTTTCAAGTGCTGGAATTATTATATTTATTTTTATTTTG